TATTTTGTAGGCTAGGTTATTATAGCTAATTGCTTATAATCTATAGAAACAGTGAATCACTATGTGTACACTATATGTACATCTGAAACTAATATAATATTGTGAAGCAACTACACTTCAATTAAAATAACATGTACATGTATATATGTATTACAGCCTTTAAAACTAACGAAATGCCTGATTTTAGCTTGCTACTCTATGATCTGTTTAGAACTGTAAATGCCGTGTGAACAATAAGGACTTCAATAATAACTTTCAGTTCAGTTCAGTCGCTCAGTCGTGTCCAACTCTTTGCGACCACATGAATCGTAGCACGCCAGGCCTCGATTGAGTTGGTGATGCCATCCAGCCATCTCATCCTCTGTCGTCCCCTTCTCCTCCTGCCCCCAATCCCTCCCAGCATCAGGGTCTTTTCCAATGAGTCAACTCTTCGCATGAGGTGGCCAAAGTACTGGAGTTTCAGCTTCAGTATCAGTCCTTCCAATGAACACCCAGGACTTATCTCCTTTAGGATGGACTGGCTGGATCTCCTTGCAGTCCAAGGGACTCTCAAGAGTCTTCTCCAACACCACAGTTCAAAAGCATCAATTTTTCAGCACTCAGCTTTCTTCACAGTCCAAATCTCACATCCATACATGACCACTGGAAAAACCATAGCCTTGACCAAATGGGCCTTTGTTGGCAAAGTAATGTCTCTGCTTTTTAATATGCTATCTAGGTTGGTCATAACTTTCCTTCCAAGGAGAAAGCGTCTTTTAATTTCATGGCTGCAATCACCATCTGCAGTGATTTTGGAGCCCAAAAAAATAAAGTCTGACACTGTTTCCACTCTCTCCCCATCTATTTCCCATGAGGTAATGGGACCAGATGCCATGATCTTAGTTTTCTGAATGTTAAGCTTTAAGCCAACTTTTTCACTCTCCTCTTTCACTTTCATCAAGAGGCTTTTTAGTTCTTCTTCACTTTCTGCCATAAGGATGGTGTCATCTGCATATCTGAGGTTATTGATATTTCTCCCAGCAATCTTGATTCCAGCTTGTGCTTCATCCAGCCCAGCATTTCTCATGATGTACTCTGCATATAAGTGAAATAAGCAGGGTGACAATATACAGCCTTGACGTAGTCTTTTTCCTATTTGGAACCAGTCTGTTGTTCCATGTCCAGTCCTAACTGTTGCTTCCTGACCAGCATACAAATTTCTCAAAAGGCAGGTCAGGTGGTCTGGTATTCCCATCTCCTTCAGAATTTTCCACAGTTTATTGTGATCCACACAGTCGAAGGCTTTGGCGTAGTCAATAAAGCAGAAATAGATATTTTTCTGGAACTCTCTTGCTTTTTCGATGATCCAGAGGATATTGGCAATTTGATCTCTGGTTCCTCTGCCTTTTCTAAAACCAGCTTGAACATCTGGAAGTTCATGGTTCATGTATTGCTGAAGCCTGGCTTGGAGAATTTTGAGCATTACTTAACTAGCATGTGAGATGAGTGCAATTGTGCAGTAGTTTGAGCATTCTTTGGCATTGCCTTTCTTAGGGATTGGAATGAAAACTGACCTTTTCCAGTCCTGTGGCCACTGCTGAGTTTTCCAAATTTGCTGGCATATTGAGTGCAGCACTTTCACAGCATCATCTTTCAGGATTTGAAATAGCTCAACTGGAATTCCATCAGAGTAGACCTAATCTGAATGCTTCTCATGCTTGCAGAAAACTAGCCAGGAAATTATTTCTGCAAACAGTATTTAGGTGTTCTTTTTTCTAAAAGTGAAAGCAAAGTTGCACATAGAATCACCTGGGCTAGGCTGAAAGTAGACTCACACTGCTTTTCTAATCCCCCTGAAAATGAGAAAAAATAATGATTTTCCAAATAACTCAACAAAAACAAAAACTGATGAAAATATTTATGAAATAGAATGTTCTAAATAAATTATGTTTGGTTAAATCATGTTTAAGCAGAAAATGTTTTATTACCATTCTCATTGAACAGCTTACAAAAAATGACTAGTCCATGCCCCTCATTCACTTACAAGGATATCAAGAATGCAACGGTGACCATGTTGACAGGAGCCACAAATTCAAACACTTCAGGAGCCAGGTGCAAAAGGTAAATACATGAGGCAAGTCAAAGCATATCCAAGAGCCCAGCATCTAGCCTTTAGTAATGGTCTCCAAATGTCTTTTACTGAAAGCTGTCTTTTATTAAGCAGCTCTGGTATTTGCTTCTTTACACTTCGGGAGCACCATCCACCATCCCAGTGAAGTATAGATACTGCTGTTACCTCCATTTTTAAATGAGAAGATGGAAGCACTAAAAGAATCAGGTACTTGTCTGTGGTCACACAGCCCAACATAGCAGTGCCTAGGTAAATGACAAGCAATGTGACATCAGGACATGAGCCCCTCATTTCCGTTCAGTTCAGTCGCTCAGTCGTGTCTAACTCTTTGCGACCCCATGAACCACAGCACGCCAGGCTTCCCTGTCCATCACCAACTCCCGGAGTCTAACCAAACTCATAAGCCTCTGTTTATCATTAATTTGGGCTTAATAATTAGACAATGGTAAATTAAACACATGTTAACCCATTTAATCCCCACCATAACTCTGAGAAGTAGATACTAGTTACTAGTATTTATACCTCTCTTAAATATATAAAAACTATATCACAGAGAGGTAAAGACAGATTCCCAGTGTCATGGAGCTAATAATTGCAGAACCAAGAGTTGAAGCCCCAAGTGGTCTGTTTCCAGGGCCCCTGCTCCTAGTATGGCTCTCAGCCAGAAAAATTTTGTATCCTGCCTCCACGAAGATATTTCAATGTCCAGAGATAGTTTGGTTGTTACAACTAGGGAAGGAGGGACATATTGGCATCTAATAGGTAGAGGCTAGGGACATCGCTGAGTATCTTACAACATGCAGGACAGTCCCACACCACAACGCAAAATGTAAATAGTGCCACTGATGAGAAACACAGGCCTATGAGATTATTACTGTGCAGCCATATGGATAGAAAAATAGGCCACTGGGAGAGATGGAGACTGACAACACGTAAGTTTTCATCTTTAAACAAATCTGTGCTATCAGATTGTTTTCATGCTCTGTCATCTAACAATTCATTTATAAAAAGTAATGAAAAAATAATCCAGATAATTGATAAGCTTTCACTTAACCAAGACATTTTTTCATATCTTATTATGATATGCAATAGTTCAAATTCTATATTATTGTATAAGAACTTTTTATAATGAATCTCACTTTTATGGAGAGTCTCAAAAGCTTATTTTTTGTCACTGCATAGGTACATTATTAAAATTCATACATCTCTACACAGTTATTTCATTAACCAAAACTGTTTCCATTTAATCTTTCTTACCTCCTCTTTCCTTCTGACATTTTAAGTTATTTCTCACAAATCACAGTGAAAGTGTTGGTGAAGAAGAAAAATGTGAAAGGAATCCTTTCGCCCTTAACTACTTAGGCGCTGCCTTGCCACATTGCTTTCCCTTCTCCCTTTTGGCGGTGAAACTATTGTTGTCTCTATTAGTTATTTTCAAAGTTTAGAGAAACAATATGTAATGGGTTAGATAGAGGGGGAGTTAAGGCTGAGGAGTAGTGACGTCACCAAACAGGACAGCTGGCTGAGAGGGAGTATTCCTGCTAGTGAAATACAAGACATAAAAGGCAGAATACTTAATACTTAAAAGATACTGTGCTTCATGGGGGAAAAGGGAAAGGGTTCAACACTGGCCATTAATCCAAAACTCTCCTGTTAAAAATGGTTTATTTAAACATCTGTTAAGCATTTGTAACTTTAACAAATTGGCCTCGAGGTACTTAGAATTTTCTTTTAAAACAGCTCTTTCTAGGGTTAAAAAATGTGTTCTTTTAAGCTTAAAAATACACTGACCTTCTTAATGATCTTCTGAGAAAAAATAATTTTCTGGATTTAAATTTTGTATATTTTCAGGCAATGTTACTTCCTGTTTTTGAGAAGGAGAAAGAGATTAAGAAGGCTCCAAACACTGCTTACATTTTGGACTGCTTTTTAAATATTGATTTTATGTGTGTTAAGTATAAGCTGGTCAAAAATATGTGGATTAATTTTTCCATAAAATATGAATGGTTTAAAAATTAAGAAGGGGGCATGCTTGGCAAACTCTGATTATTTTTTGTCAAAGCAAAAATATTTGAAAAGCAGTTGTTGCCATTAGAAAATATTCCCAATGTAGCTAGATACAATTTTTATCATAAACTGACAACCTAGGATTTGAATATAGGATTTTCTTCTTTTAAATAGACTTTGTACTACACCATGTTACATATCAAATATATATTTCATGCATGCACGCTAAGATGCTTCAGTTGTGTCTGACTCTTTGCAGCCCTATGGACTGTAGCCCACCAGGCTCCTCTGTCCCTGAAATTCTCCAGGCAAGAATACTGGAGTGGGTTGCCAGACCCTCCTCCAGGGGATCTTTCCAACCCAGAGACTGAAACCTGGGTCTCTTGTGTCTCCTGCATTGGCAGGCAGGTTCTTTACCACTAGTGCCACCTGGGAAGCCCATCAAATATATATGCACATATACATTAATATATTTGCATTTCAACACTTGTTACAGAATATCACCTCAGAATGTGATTCTCACTAATATGTCTCTGTTTCTGAATATTAGATAATCTTTTAATTATGTCACTTGGAGTCCAGTGTTAACCTAAAATGTGCTAAAGACTTTGTACTATGTTGAATGGAACCCTCTTCATTTTTCTGAGCTTCTGATATTTTTATGGCACTTTTGTCTTTAAAATATCTTTAATACTTTGATGTTAACCTAATTTTTTTTAGTAATTTAAATGCCTCTAGTAAAACAATAATCCTTTCCAACCCAGTACATTTTTATGTTAATCATACATATGGTTCTCCTTATAACAGATGTTTGGAAGTGTGTGGAACTGATCCACTAAATTTCACTCCCTTCTTTATCTCATTTTCTCATTTCTCATTACAGGAACATCCCTCACTAGGCCAACTATCAGAAAAGTTAATAGACAACAATATTAACGTCATCTTTGCAGTTCAAGGAAAACAGTTTCATTGGTATAAGGTATGTTAACTCCCAAAATGTAAAAATTAAAATGTTAGCATCCATAGGTAAAATTAGAATACTTCTCAGAACCCCAGGTAAGGATTCTGGGGTTATTATACTTTGTACAATCTAAATTTAACACTATATTAACTAATGTATACTACACAGTGTTCTAAGTTAACATTTAAGTATAAATAAATACAAATTCTATGTTTGCAAACCTAAAATTAGAATCAAGTGAGGGCACTAATAGTATTTGGTACTAACTATGACAATATTGGAATAGACTTTTATCAGGTAAAAAGTGGTTCACACCCCAACTATACCATGTCCACATTTCTGCTTATTCTAGTCCATGGGCATATCTTTATAATAGATTAGATTGGGGAGCATCAGTATATTTCAACAAATCTAGCACCAACATAGCTAGATTTGCCTAGGTCATCTCATAAAGGAACAGGAGGAGCCATGGAAGTGGCTGACTCAGCCAAAGCCTTCCTACATAAGAATCATTTTGGTTTTGTCCAGAATCTTTTCAGCCAGGTGAGTCCTACAAGCAGAATAGACATTTGACACCTGTGTCACTGTGGCAGCATCCCATGGGATTCCTCCTGTCCCCCACAAATAGAACTTCTGTGACCCTGCTATAGCTCTCTTTGCACAGTCTTTTAGGTTCTTTTTTCCAGGAAACTCTCTTTTCTTCATTTCTACAATGGTATGATACCCTAATTTTCTTTACACATGTCTGGATCTTCATCTCCCTTGTTGTCTTTGCTTTTACCTTGTACCCACAATGTCCTTTACTTATTTTTTTTTTAATATTTCAGAGAAACTATTTTTTCTTTTGGTTTCAACAGCTACTTGAATTCATTTGCATTTGCCACAAAGCTGGTGTTCCCGTCACCAGTTTCCCTAATATCTGACTACTACATTTATCATCTGAAAGTGCTACTTTAATTATATCATTTCATCCCTTAGCAATTGTATAATTTCTTCCCTACAGTGAAGATGTAATTCCCTGTTTTCCAAAATTTACATACCATGGAATTCGTTTTAAGGAAAGAGCTGTTAATATCCACAGAAGTAGACCTCGGACTCAAATTAAATGCCCAAATCACTTTATTAACAATAGTAACAGCATCCACTTACTGAGTACTTACTGTTGTCAAGCACTGATTTATTAACATTAATCCATTTGATACTCTTAAAACTCATAACAAGAAGGATAATATTACTAATATGCCCACTTTAAAGATGAAGGAAACAAGGGCATTTAGGGAGGTTATATACTTTCCTAACAGCCTAAATCCTGTGTTCTTAACCTCTAAGCTTAAATTTCAAATTGAATTTCAACTCACTGAGCAGTTTTTTATTGTTTTGCTCTTTTTTCTCTGCTATTTATTACTTCTTGAATTACTTGCTCTAGCAGTTTCTTCCTACTCCTTTAAGAAAATTTCCACTGACTGTTAAACCATAAAACCAGGTTTATTATTAATTGAATTGCATGCAATTCAAAGTAAAAATCAACAGGTTTTAAAAGCATAACAACCTCTGCTGAGTCCTGTATATGCCATGCAGTCACCCAGTTTGGTTGCTCACAGACATTTTTATCAATCACCTTTGTCTGAGTTGTAACAGCTTCCTAACCCATCTCCCAAATCCACCTTTCACCTGGCTGCAGGGTGAGTTATGTGAATCACACTTTGAGTAAAGTGCTCCAGTGGTTTCCTCTGATATAGAGGATCAAGCCTTTATTATGGCACATGAGGCTAGTGGGTCCCTGCTTGCCTCGCTGACCTCATCCCCCAAAGCTGTCTGCCTTAAACTTGTCCCTCCAGTCATGCTTCTAATTCTCCTGTGAACACACTCACCAGGCTCTTTCTTTGCTTCTTGCTATTTATCTCCCATCCCTGGAAGCCTTTCTCCATTATTAGTTGATTAACTCTTACTCATCCTTGAAGACACAACTCATGATTCACCTCCTCCAGGAAACAGTCCCTGACAAATCTCCCCGGCCCTCAAATGCCTGCTCAGTATCCCTCTCATTAGGGTCCATATATATGACTATTGCTTCATGGGAATATCATTTTTTGAAACTGTCATTTACATTCCTGTGAGATTCTTAAGGGTAGAAACCATGTGGCCTAATAATTTAGCATTTCCAAAGTGGCATATGATGCTACTTAATAAAAGTTATATAAATGAATTTTTAAAATATCTGACAAATATATTTCCCTTTTACCTGAGGTACTAAATTATTTGTAGTAGCTTACTGTTCAAGTAGTAGCTGGCATACAGCAAAAACTCAGTGATACTTGTGAATGATAAAATGAATATATAAATGCATTTCAAGACTTTTCATAATCTGATTCCATATAAATATGCACCATTCACTCTAGTAAAACTAGTTACTTCTCTATTCTTAGTTAATCTACAACTTCGGTAAACTTTTAAGCCTTTACTAATTCTCATTTTCTCACTAGGAGTACCTAGAGTCCATTTTTTATGGACCATCAGAACACCTGTTCGATGAAACTTCCATTTGTGACTTTGATTTTTTTTCTCCTGTCTGGACAAACATGTCCTAAAGACTGCTCCATGGAAAAACAGTTCTGCAAAATATTTATGTTACATGAGAAAAGAATTTTGTAGTTAAGTAAATGTTAAGAGAATGTGGCAGTTATTATAATAATGCAATTATTTCTGAATTGCAGGGGTATACATTTTGAGGCTCTATGTGGAAGAAACCATATGCAGAACTTATCAAATTCATTTGCCCTCAGAACTGTTTTCATTTTAAAATCTCTCAGGACCAGGTTCTGTGGTCTATACTTTAAGGTTTAGGTCAGCATGTAATTTGGGTTCTCGCACACACTCATGTACATACAAATACATATCATTTCAGGTATATGTGTTTTAGCTGCTTTAGTTAGTTGCTTATATTTTTTCTTGTGTTTTAACTTTTTTATTCATGTAATGACTCATCTTCCATTGATACCTATAAGATTTTTAAATATTTCTTGATTGCTAAGCCACTGTACATAGTTATAATTTAGTGAATGTGATTGGTATGTTTTCTAGGACCTTCTACCCCTCTTGCCTGGCACCATTGCTGGTGAAATAGAATCAAAGGCTGCAAACCTCAATAATCTGGTTGTAGACGCCTATCAGGTATGTACATATTGTACACATTTTTTTTTTCAAATAAACTTTTAACCCCAATTTCTACAGCAAGGTACAAACTAATGCCCTATCATCTTGAGAAGGGTGGTGGAAAAACATTAGATTAGGAATTAGGAACCTGGTTTAGCCCTGGCTCTACCACTAACTAGTTACAGAACCTTGTTGAAGTCATTTCAGCTTTCTGTGTTTCACTATGTCCTTTGACACAGTTTACTAAATTCAGGTTAAGTTAGAGACTATCTAAATTTCCTTATTAAATGTTCAGAGAGTCACCAAGTCACAGCCATAGAATATATTTTATTACCAAGAAATATCATACTTTCCAGGACCATAAAGATAATCAATCCACTGTGTTATTTAAACAGCAACTTTTCATAAAACAATGAACTGAGATACAGAGACTACTAGGAGAATTCTGTTGGGGTCTGCTAGATCATCACAAGGTTGTTCAGTCGTTTGATTCAAAGAATTACCTTGAGAGATATACTATTTTATTGAGATGACAGTTATATGCTGTTCCCAGGTTGTGAAGAGTAGGTGCTAAATACAAAGTTAAAGAAATATCTGCTCTCTTAACCTAGGTCATTCCTGGATAGAATAATCTCTTTTAGGACACTGTAAAAACAGTAACTGTCATTTTAACACCACTATGAACTAGTTACTTGCCATACATGACCTCATTCAATCCATTCAACCCACCTATAAGGCAGGTGTTAGTACTCCCATTGTGTATTTGTAGAATTTCAAAGAAGCTAAGCAAATTAACCAAAGGTCAAACAGCTAACAAGCAAAAGAAGCAGAACCAGAACCTAGGTTTTCCTAAATTCTAGCTTTCAGGTGCTTCCTTCTGTATTATATGGTCTGTTTTCTTTTTTTTACATGGTGTTTAAAAGATACGCTTTGTTCTATTTTGAATTTATGTGCCATTGACAAACTCTCACTTCTTCAAATTCTCTTATTGCCTTCCTGACACAGTAGAATTAAACGGTATTAATAGTAGCCCAAGTATTGTTAGAAATCTCAGGCTTCTCATTTTCTTCATGGAACATCTGCCTTCAACTCAGATATGAAAGAAAAAGGCAGAAGTGGATACAGGATAGAAAGTGAAGGACTTGTTTAAACTTTCTTTCTTTAAAAGGAAAATAAATCTTGCAAGGTTTTTTGTTTGTTTGTTTTGCCAAGGCATTGTTCTATGTCTCAAGACTGTGTTGGATTAAATAGGAAAAGCAACTTTAATTACAATTTCTTTCTCACTGTTACCAAAAAGAAAGTATTAATAGGACTGGAGGGACATGTTATCAAGGAAAATCACACCTGTGTACAACTCATTTCCAACAGTAGTTGGTTCCCAAGGATAATCAAAATAAGAAAGAAGCTTACAGTATTAGAAGTCACCCTATTTTTCCTAATATGAACCCACATATTACCCCTTAGAAAAAATATAAGTTGATAAACTTTCCTACATTTCAAATTACACCCATGGAAAAGGAAACAATAGCTTTTTTTTTTCACGTTCTTTATTTGCTAGGCTAGGTCTGTGATGCATTATCTAATTGTAGTTCTGATTAACCTTAAACAATTTTGAAAATACTAACAAAATCAGCAAAAACTCTGGCTAACCAATATCCTTAAGCTGGGATTCTGTTATAATTTTATGTTTGCACTTTAAAAAATTTTCTGAAAATTCATTTCACCTTCACAGTCCAACAGAAACCATTCATAATTCATTGAATAAAAAACTAATATTTTATTCTACTTTGTAATTCTTTGCATTTCAGTTTTAAGACTTTCGTAAAATTACATACAAATTTAGCACATGGTGAATGTGATTGCATTTTATTTTGTATCCTTTACATTGCCATCAAAATATAAAACTATATAAAAATTTATATAAAACTATATAAAAATTAAAACTATATAAATTAAAACTATATATAAAGTATATAATTACTTAATCATAATTAACTGAAATTAAAAAATAAATTATATTGAATAAAAGGAATTAAACTTCATAAAAAATAAATTCTGTCTCTGCACCTGTTAGATATTAAAAGGCAAGCTTAAGACTGTCTGAAACTTGGGGAGGGAGGTGGGAGGGGGGTTTGGGATGGCAGACACATGTATACCCATGGCTGATTCATGCCAATGTATGGCAAAAACCGCCACAGTATTGTAAAGTAATTAGCCTCCAAATAAAAGAAATAAATTCATTTTTAAAAAAAGAAAAAAAAAGACTGTCTAAAACTTAATTTCTTAATCTCAAAACTGGGCAAAATTTTAGATATTTGTCTTCATATCATGCTTGAAAAAACACTGATATAACTAGCTTAAGGTTTTAAGGGAAGCAGAATTTCCAAAGGGCGAAAGAACACTGACGGTATTAAGAAGTTCCTTCTGCTTTGTCAGACCATCACCGCATCAGCACCGTTAGTGCACTACCACCTGGCAAGCCCAGGTGGCTCAGTGGCAAAGAATCCACCTGCAACGCAGGAGATGCAGGTTCCATCCCTGGGTCGGGAAGGTCCTCTGGAGAAGGACATGGCAACCCACTCCAGTGTTCTTGCCTGGAGAATCCCATGGACAAAGGAGCCTGGAGGGCTACAGTCCATGGGGTTGCAAAGAGTCAGACATGACTGAGCAGGAGAAGTTTCTATTTTTTCCTGAAACTGTTTAATTAAGTGATTACAATGTATGGATTCTCTGGTTGCTAAAAAATGTGACTGATACAGTCTTACCTAATTCAAATAGAATTTACTAATTTGAGGAAGTATCTTACTCTAAAGATTTACTACCATAATTCCATGATCAGTTATTAACCTCTTTGTTGCCTATACAGTTGAAAAAGAAAAATTACTCAAGTAAAGAATTAGAAGCCAAGGGGATATCTTTTTCCTTCACACCATGTTGCTCACTCTCTTTTCTTACATACTTCATCTTTTCCCTTTCCTTTTGTTTACAGACATAAGTTAAGGAATTTTGCATGTGGTAGACTCTTAAGTTTTATCAGATGAAATTCACACAGATCTACAGAATATATTTAATGTAGTTGTAACTTTTGGAACTGAGATGGGGAGAAATTAGGATGTGCTTGATACACATAATCATCATAACTGGCAATACATACATGTTTTTGAATGACTGTATAAATAAGTGAATGAATGAATGAATGATTTCCTGCCCAGTAAGAGGCCCTATTTCAGTATTAAGAACTGAAACAATAAGCAAGCTCGAGGGACTTGGCAAAAATCCTAGGCCATTCTTGGAGAATTTACAGGGCCATAACTGGCAGGATTCTTATACCTACAGTATAGGTATAGAAATACAGTATAGTATTTCTTATATCTACAGTATAGAAATGGCCTCCACAAAATTTACTTTTCAATTCTGTATCAATAAGACCTTTTAGTTTCCATGATAGTCTTAAGTATCTGAAACTGAAATGTTTCTTTAATAGCAGTAAATGTCAGAAGCGTGTTCCAGATTTTAAGCTGTTAAGATTTATGTGCTATGTTGTATCGTATTGTGTATGTATTCTCAATGCTTTATTCAAATTTTATCACAAAATATAAATATTATTGGATTAAAATGATTATTTTTGTAACACAGGCTGAGTGAGAAATGTCTCTGAAGTGATCATAATGCAGTCATGGAAATACGTGAAAAAAATAGAGCAATTTAAACACAGATAATCTAATCCTTCAGTATTTTTTATGTATTTCAAATGTAGCTAAGTCATTATGTGGAAATACTATTTTTAATCAAGATTTTATAAAGAGAGACTCTTTGATTTAGTTAAAAATTTAAATCTAGAATGATATGATAAACTTGACTTTGTTTAGTTGTTTACATTTGAAACTGCTATAGTATACAACTAAAAAATGTCATCTCTGCAGAAACTCATTTCAGAAGTGAAAGTTCAGGTGGAAAACCAGGTAAAAGGCATCTACTTTAACATTACTGCCATCTGTCCAGATGGGACCAGAAAGCCAGGCACAGACGGATGCGGAAATGTGACAAGCAATGATGAAGTATGTGGGTGTGGATTTTTCCGATTTAAAGTAAACTAACTTGTTTGGCATGCTTTCTCACAGAAAACTCAAACCATTCTGAAAACTTTGCTTACTACTGACCTTAAGAATCTCATTTACACTTCAAAGTAACTTTCATTGTCTATTCCTAAAGTTCCTACTTGTTGTAACTCCATTGACTGTTCTCTCAAATTCTCTAGTACTTATTTTAAAATAAATGTATCATATTAAATACTTATTTAATAATAATAACTTTGTTTGGTGACACAGCCAGTATATGTTAGGAAATCACATCTCCTCAAACAAGAAGTGTCTATTCTTATGATGATGATAATACCTTTTTGTTTCAAATCTGAAAATTCTCAGAGTAAATGTGAAAGCTGAGGGTAAAAGCAATACAGAAGAATGGGAATGATGGAGGGATTGATAAGGATTAAGAATTATAAACTCTCTCACTTTGTGATTGTCCCAGGACACTTATATTATCTCAATACAATGATCTAGGAGGTAGGGAAATTTGTTAAGGACAACAACAACAAAAAGAAGTGTCATCATTTAACTAAAAAGGAATGAAATATGGAAAAGAGATTCAGATTATAGCAGCATGAGGAAATAGGACCATGGGAGATAGGGATTCTCCCAGAATTGGCACAAGAGAGAGTAAACACACAGAAATATACTTTAAAAAGAAATTCTTGTAGAACAAGTGATTTTCAGTGAGTCATTTACCTCAGTGAGGCATCAGTTGCCTCATTTTTAAATAAATAACTTGAACTAGAATATTTCTAATCACTCTTCCATCCATCTCTAAGGTTCTATGATGTTATTAATTATTTTAATATCATGATATACAGAAAGAGCTACTGAAAGATTAAAAATCCTACAATTCTGTTAATAAGATTGAATAAAGGAGAATCTTCCTTTCTTTCTAGTTAGAATATACTTTTCCCTCTTGGAAAGTTTAGAATCTGCAGGTAGTATAGTTGCTCCAACAAACTGTATATTTGAAATTAATTATTTCAAATTCAAGTTCTGTAGGTTTCCCCATGATCACTCCTTGGATTTTGTCCAAAAGATATTTTATACCAGTTTACAAAAAATATATTTTATTTACACTGAGTATAGAGAAACTTTTTCTTTTGTGCTCGCAAAAAATAATACAGTTATTACTTTTTTAGAAAGGATTACCTTCTTAGAAGACGCTCTTTCTTTCAAAATCAATTTTGGCAGAATGGTTTAGCTTACTTCTTTTTCTTTGTCTACATCTCTTTTTTTTCCGTCACTTTCAACCAAGTGATATAAACACTATCTATATAAACACTTTGACTATCAAGAAGAGTCATTTGACCTCAATTATAGAAATCCCAAGTTTTGCTCTACTTAATTTTGGCAGTGACCACATTATCTTACTATCTGTTACTCCTTAATATTTTAAAGAGAAAAATACATTTCAAGTCTGACACCAATTGTACTGATTTTAATATGATGAGACTAATTCTAATTCTGCATGCATATAGATAACATATAAACCTAAATTTAGATCTTTCTTATTGTGTGTGTGTGTCTGTGCTTGTGTGTGTATGTATCTGTGTTAGGCTTTTTGGTTGGGATGGATATCTATAATCTATATACATAAGAAAGAGGAAATCTCTATATATTCATATATATTTACATCCATATATATATATATATATACACACACATATATCCATCCATATCTGTTTACCTAATTTATCTCCATCCCAACCAAAAAGCTTAGCACAAATTATTTTTAAATTGTAATATATCTCAGTCTAACATGGAAGAAAACTATAAACCTTGTTTGCCAAAATACCTGAAGATTATATGAATTAACAAATATAAATACACATACTAAGCCAATCTTGTTGTGGAGAAAAAACTGAGAAAAATTTGGCAAGAGAGAGCAATTATGTAGTTTCATGGGGGAAACCAATTCCTGCCAGGCCAGATCATTAGTTGCAGACTAACATCTCCACTGAGAAAAATGTATGACTTTGTATTGAGATCTTAGGACCTAAAAGTTGAGAGTCCTAAATCTTTTTCCCTTGAGTAACATCAGGGAAAGCCCCATGTTTTCCTTTTAACATTATGTATAAACTAAAATTTAAGTCCAAGACTTTACTTGGGCTCTAGGAAAACAGAAACAAAATAAAAACTGTTCATTTGAATAATTGTTCATTTCAGGGTTTTAAACCAGTAGAGCAGAAGCCCTTGACTTTAGTTTATCTGATCTATCTCTAGTGCCAAATATTTGCCGTAACTCCACAAGTTAAGGACTGGATCTAGAAAATGGTCTATTCTCTCTCAAGTTTGCTAAGAAGTCATCTGAGGATATAAATGAATGATTAGAAGTAGATACCTTTCAAGTAGGTTTGAATCCATGTCCATTTAATGGTGCATGACAGGCAAGCCTCAGTCACTGCATCCTTTAATTCTCTAGTTCCTTAATAAGGAAATAAAATGAAATTAAAAGGTAATGTTATGTCTACATATGAAAAAAGAATGCATGTGTAATTTATAAATATAAATTTCTTATAGATGGTATAGTATTGACTTAAAATATCATTAACATATATAATATTAGTAATAAAAACAATCAAAGGATTTAAATGTATTTTCTTCCCTCTCACCCACAAATTTAGGTTCTTTTCAATGTAACAGTTACAATGGAAAAATGTGATGTCACGGGAGGAAAGAGCTACGCAATAATCAAACCTATTGGTTTCAATGAGACCACTAAAATTCACATACACAGAAACTGCAGCTGTCAGTGTGATGACGGCAGAGGACCTAAAAGAAAGTGTGTAGAAGAAACTTTTCTAGATGCCAAGTGCTTCCAGTGTGATGAGAATAAATGTCATATTGATGAGGACACATTTCCTTCTGAAAGTTGCAAGTCACACAAGGATCAACCTGTTTGCAGCGGTAGAGGAGTTTGCATTTGTGGGAAATGTTTATGTCACAAAATTAAGTTTGGAAAAGTGTATGGAAAATACTGTGAAAAGGATGACTTTTCTTGTCCATATCATCATGGAAATCTGTGTGCTGGTGAGTATAAATATGTCCATGCAGTTATTTATATAGTTGTATATTAAGCTAGCATATATGTTAAAGTATCTTTAAATCACATCTTTATAATTACCAACCCTGAATCTGAATTTGATACTTAAACTTTCAAAGTCTGTGAAATTAGGACATAGCCACAGATATACTGCACATGATTCTAATATTTATAGTTTAAATTATTTTGTACAGGAAATACTTAAAAATTAAAACCAAAAATTAATTTGTATTTTCAAGTATGCCGTGACCTTATAAAGACATATACCAGAAAAGGAAATTACTGACAATGTCTGACAGATTTTCTATAATCTGGGTATTCTTCTAGAAGACTCTGATTTATCCTCATAAATGGTCACTCATCTTGTTCAGAGGATAGTTAGCCATAAAAATATACTTTCAATTCACTGTAATATTCTTAATGTGTTATTAGAGATGGCATTATAAATCTGTAGTAATATAAACCTGTCTACTTTATTTTTGGAACAACACCAGCAACAGAATTGTCAAAGGACAGTACTCTTCAAGAAAATACAGGTTTCATAAGAAATCAAGATTAGTCCCAGAGGCCACATACAGACCAAATTTTAAAATGAAATAATTTAAAACAAAAAATATCAAAAGTATGTTTTGGCTAATTCAATTTACTGCCACCTAGAGGTTAAATTCTAGAAAATATATACAACATTTGAAAATTAGTGTGAAATACTTTTTTAATTAATTAATTTTTCTATGGTAGTGTACTAAATCCATTTATTGTTAAAGTACCTTTTTAATGTTTGCATTTTGGTAAGCAAATATTAAATTACTGATAACATGAAATATTTCATTTTAATAAGCTTATGGAAAGTAATAAACATACACAAAATAAGTTTTTATTCTTGTATAAATTAAAAATGTGCCCTATATCACATAAATATGGGATGGACAATTTCCTTTATATCTTATACACATGATATTTTATATTCTAAACATTCATTCAGCTGTACTTGGCATCTAGGTAGAAAGGGTTATAGATGACTTTAGAATAAACCCACAATTATCATCTAAGTTTTTTAGTGCTAAAACTGCTTGGGACAGGGAAGAGAAAGAATTCTGAGGTCATCATTTCCTATAGCTGTCAAACTCTCAATGAAGTCTGAAATATTGAGACACTGAGAATTCCAGTCTCTGTTAACAGTAAAATATTAAAAATCAGTGTACTGGTCCTTTTACATGACTATGATAACTACTGTTCCAGAGGCAATTGAGAATCTGCTTTGAATTATTTGTATATAAATCATAACCACAAACTGTAGGCTGACAAGTATTTTCTTCACTAAGGTCCTTTGAAAATAATAACACATGTTCACAGATCTGCTGGCTAGTATTAGGCATGTAGCCCATATACAGAGAATTGAGCCTAGCAGGCATTTGCTTGGCCTGGATATCATTATTAATTTTACAGTTAACAAATTGAGCTGATCCAACAGTAGAGGCTATGGAACAGTTACCCTGTGAGGTGTTCCACAATAAAAGAAGAGAGGGCATAAACCAGAAATTGAGGGAAGTAAGAAAAAGAAGGGGAGGAGGAGGGAGAGAGAAGAAAGGAAGGAAAGAAGGAAGAAGGGAAAAGTCTTTGGTCAGATAAACTTGAAAAACATTATATAGCCCTGAATATGTACCCTCTTGAAAATTTCTAGTTCACATTAGCATATTAAGTTTTGGATACCTTCTACAGGCTAAAACCCACTTAACTAAGTATAATCAGTGTTCTTCCTCAACTCCAACATGCACAAACATACCACCCTGATTTCTCTCTTGCTTTCTCTCATTTACCACCTAATAACATTTCACAACATACCTTATTAAGACATGCACCACTAACCTGCTACATAATGTGCTGAAGATGTGAAAGGATTACTTCAACTTCCCTGGAGATCTCATCTTTAATCAAGGCACTAGCAGAACTGAAGCTTTTAGAAGAGTTTGCCCAATGGACCTTCAAAGTTATCCCAGGCCCTTAGCAATAATGAGCGACTTGGAGAGAAAATTATGGAAGCTATTCATAAAATACCCCTTTCTTTCAAATTTCAAATCAGACAACACTACTTCAGCCTCTGTTACTTCTTTATATCTGTGTTTTTTTACTTTAGTGACCTTCAAGTAGCTGGGCAGTCACTGCAGCAGGGCAGAATTCACAACGGTCAGCACAATAGATTAGCAAGGGGAGATTATCTACATAGGACAACTTTAAAAATAGTGACTCCTAAGTCCTGGGATTGTTTATGTCAGACAAATAGAAAATGATGCTGTTTCCATTCACTTGAGTGTCAGTGTGTTTCCACTGGATGGAAGGGAAATTCATGTTTGGAAATGCTTCACAAAGTCAGTGATCTTGGTAACTTAGATCTTGGAGTATCTGTGTTGCAGGGCACGGAGAGTGTGAGGCGGGCAGATGCCAGTGCTTCAGGGGCTGGGAAGGGGATCGCTGCCAGTGCCCGTCTGCATCCGCCCAACTCTGTGTCAGTCCAAAGGGCCAAGTGTGCAGTGGGAGAGGCACATGCGTATGTGGCAGATGTGAGTGCACCGATCCCAGGAGCATCGGCCGTTTCTGTGAACATTGTCCCACGTGTCACACAGGCTGCAGTGAAAACTGGTATGTGTTTTCTGGTTCCAAACCTATGTAAAGCAGTCCTTCATTTAGCCATGTTCAATCTTTTCTATTTTGCCTACTTTAACCAAAAAATTGCTGGATCTTCTCCAGACAAATTATCATCATGCTAACAAAAGAACCGAATGAGGAATTTAAGAATTAGAAGACTTAGATTCCAATCTCGGGTCATGCATGAGAATTTATCTAGGTATTCACTGCCTTTTTTTGAAACAGTTTTTTTTTAAAGAATAATATTCAGTGTTAATAAAGATTCAGTGGGGCTGTCCTCCCAACTTTCTTGAGATGTAAATGACATATAATCTTGTGTAAGTTTAAGATGTACAATATTATATTTTAGGAGCTGACTGCTTCCCAGCTTACTATTAATTAGCTTTTTGATCCAGGACAAATTGTTTAAATTGTCTGTGCCTTAGTTTCATGATAGCAAAAGTGCAGATAACAATAATGCTGTGCTATAATTCTGTGAAATAATTAAATTAGATGTTCATGCAAAAAAGCCCTAAACTTTTGTACTTGGTGCACAGTAATCATGGAATAAATGTCACCTGTTGTTATTGTTTTATATTTAGTCTTTTAAAGACAAAAGAGCAGTAGCTATGAAGCACTCTAGAAAGGAGCGATGGATAAGTAAAAGGTTACATTAAATAATGGCAGCATTGTTGTTTTGTGCCAGTAATTAACTGCTCAAAGACAACTACTCAGAATATCACTATGGCTTACAATTTGTTTTAATCATTTTTTAAAAGATATTCTCAAGTTTTCACAATTATGCATGAGGTTATGTAACTCATTAGGAAGATAATGATGTAGGTATTTCTACTCAACTCAATCAAATTTTGAACTGTATATTCACTGCAAAATTTTTTCTAGCAGTATCATAATAGTCATCTTCTAAAACATATGTGCTAGATGGTTTTGTTTTTGATTTTATAGTAAGGCTATCTTATTCATTTCCTGGAAATTTTATTTTCAATACAAAAAAATATCATTATGTTGATTTTATACATTACAATATTTTAAGTGACTAGAATGTAATTTTGCTTGGTATTAAATTCAGCCAAGATTACAAATAAATGTCACAGGTTTCTTTCCATGTTTAACAAGTTTGCTGCCCTAAAAAAGCACCCTATTTTGTCATTTTATGGTTTACAGAAAATACTACAAGCTACAACCTTTTAAAGAATTAAATGTTTTCACTTCTGTTTCCCCTTATAGGAATTGTGTGCAATGTCTTCACCCTCACAATCTGTCTCAAGCTATACTTGATCGGTGTAAAACTTCATGTGCTCTCAAAGAACAGCATTATGTGGACCAAACATCAGGTAAACAAAAGTTTAATAATCAAAGTACTGAAGAGTGTCTATAGAGAAACATGTCCCCCCAAAAAGCTCAACCATCCTAAAAAAAGAAATAACTGCTTCAATGTTTACAGTCTCCCAGAAATGGTACTCTATAAAACTGATTGAGGATATTTGCCATGGTGTGATTAAACTATTAGATCTCTCATCTCAACTACCCAGCTAAATTCACATGCTATGCAACTCCATGGAATTACACCAAACAGATTTTCTTGAGAGACCTCATGAACCAAGAATAGGCGTTTCCTATGTAGAGTCCATTTCACCTTTAAAGACAAGGTCTGTTTTTCTGTTTTGCAGAGGGATGGGGTGGGGAAGGAGGAGGGAGGGGGTATCGGGATGGGGAAAACATGTAAATCCATGGCTGACTCATGTCAATGTATGGCAAAAACCACTACAATATTGTAAAGTAATTAGCCTCCAACCAGTAAAAATAAATGGAAAAAAAAATAATAAAGACAAGGTCTGTGGTGCCATAATTATCCTTCACAACCCAAACCTGCTTCCAGTCATAAGCTTCCTCATGTGAAACCAACATTTACTTCCATGTTTCAGGTGATGCAAAAAAAAAAAAAATTCTAGGTAGTAATGATCTATTTTTGAGAAGCACACAACTCAAAAGGCAATTCCTTCCTTCAAAAGGCAATAATTTTCATTCTGATGCAAATATAATCTAGAGTTGAATCAGAGTTTTCCAGGTGGCCCTAATGGTAAAGAATCTTCCTGCCAATGCAGCAGATGCAAGAGATACGGGTTCCATCCCTGGGTTGGGAAGATCCACTGGAGTAAGAAAAGGCAACCTGCTCCAGTATTCTTTCCTGGAAAATTCCATGGACAGAGGAGCCTGACAGGCTACAGTCCATGGGACTGCAGAGAGTAGGACACAGCAGAGCAGAGCACAGCTTTTTTCCCAGAGTGAATAGATATAAAGATGGCACAATGGAAACGGTATGGAAATTTTAGTCTGAAGACCTTGGCTTATATGAATGAAAGAAGCATGTGAACTCTGTCTTCAAAGACCATTTTGGACAAAGGTTCACTAGAACCGAAATGCCAGTGCCCTCCTTTTGTTCAGGTTTAAGATGTTAAACTATACAAGAATTCGAAATGAAGCCTGAAATTATGTATTCATTGAGAACATTCCTACTGCTACTATTATTTCTGGTCTCTTTTCCAACCTGTAAAAATAATTCTAGGTCTTAGAGAGATTGTACAGAAGAGTAAACTTTCTCCAGAGTTTTGTTTCCTCTCCCCTCATATCCATACTAACCTTAGCCCATCATAAATTTAGATTTGAAAAGAGCCCATGTGCTGCCAGATGGGGCTGCAGCAATCACAACCAAAAGCCAAGTGCCTTTCCTAATGAATAGAGCACTAACTGTCAACATATAATTTATTATGTTAAGTAAGTAAACCTATTTTGACATAAGTGTGGCTAACAAATGTATTCCCTTAAAGCTCCTTAGGAAAATCCCTTGCTTGACCTAAACTAAGAAAAGAGGCATGGCTGGAGCTAAATTTTTGGTTCTCCTAAATTAAAAATTTTTAAATGCATACAGATTTGAATCCTGAAAAGGTTTTCCATCCTAAACCATTAGAAATATTTATAAAATGTATTAGCATTAATAGCTAGAGGGCTCCCCTCCGCTTCACAACTGTTGTGCAAGGAGAGGAAAAAGGGCATTTGTTAACCACCTCTATTATCTATCCACTTGATCACACTTAAAGGGTTATTTTGCTTTTCCTGGCTAAACTCCTACTAGGCAAGAAGCCAGAAAGTGAGATCAAGCCACGCGCCCCCTTAGCTGATTACTATTCTAAGTCGGCCAAGGGAAATGAAAGGCGTGCATGTCATGAACCTGGGCACTACCAAAGGTAACACCTTTTAATAGAGCATCTTGGATTCTCTCTATGTATGAGACCATAACACAGGGGGACTTACACTTGGATTTGGTGCTTCTACTCCAGTTAGTGGTCCTCCAGTCTCCTTTTAGCATTTCTTTCAAGGAACCTTAACATTATGACCCCAAAAAAAAAAAAAAACCACTGGCTCTAAGTCTTCCCACTTGGAGAAGAGCCCTTGCCCTTTTTACTGAATTCTTGGCTATTTAAGAGCATGCTTGGTCATTCGTGGGAATTCAAACAGAAATCACTCATGACTGGGTGACTGCTTTTCAAAGTCTTGGCAGGTCCCCTCCCAAAAGGCCTTCTCAAGGAGACTCTCAGACAGTTAGATGAAGTCCCCAAAGTCTGGAAAATGTGCAGAAAAACACATGGCACTTTAGGTTGGGAGGTAATTCTGTGAGTGTGGGGCAGCTGATGAGTTCTGTGGAATACTTGTGTATTATGCAACCATGTTCCTCTTAGATTAGGGTAATACCTCTGGCAGCCACAGAGGCTGTAGACTTTCCAACTAGAGTTTGCCAAAGGTCTAGTGCTAAAACAGAGACCTAGCATGCCCCTCTTAATACAGCATTTCCTTTTCCAGCTAGTAATTATCTGTTCTTGAAAAAACAAAAAGTGGTATTTTTAGAAGCAGAATATGATAGATTTAGTTAACAGACAAGTGAAAAATAAATTAATAAAAATTGAGGAAAGAGATTTGGGTATTGTCCCAAATTGTACACTCCCATTTCCTGGAGAAGCTATGTGTAATAATAATGAAAACTTACACTACAGTTTCAAAGGAAATATTTATTCATCTATTAGAGTAGTACTGATTTTAGCTTCTGCAGATGTTTACTTTATTTTCCATTACTGATGTGTAACAAATGAGGAGTAAGCATAACAAGAAAAACATATGTTAATGCACGGAGCTGTTAAATAATTCTTAAATCCTATTTTCCACTTAGTGATTCACATCATACCACAAAAACTGTCCTTCTCTCTGTCATGGTTGAAATCATATTTAGTTAAGGATTTGGACATATTCTAGTTGGTACAAGAATCAAGCTGAAAAAAAATAATCTTATTGAATACCTTAATTGTGGCTATTCTCTGAAGGAGAGTTTTTTGTTGAAAATACTTGAATAATAAATGTGTAATAATAATTAGATTACTTTTGAATCAACAACAATGGAAGTCCTTTGTTTTGAAAATGTAGATTTGTAAATATCTCTGATCCTATTAATTGAGATGATAAACATTATTTATTTCTAATACTACTGTTAGAATCCTTTGATTTACTCATTCCAGTTTTTTAAACCATGTATTTGTTTGCTTCTTTACAGAATGCTTCTCTAGTCCAAGCTACTTGAGAATATTTTTCATCATCTTCATAGTCACATTCTTGATTGGGTTGCTTAAAGTCCTGATCATTAGACAGGTGATACTTCAATGGAATAGTAATAAAATTAAGTCCTCGGCAGATTACAGGGTGTCTGCCTCAAAAAAGGTCAGTGAATTCTAAAAATGAATTACTATCAGTGTGTTATTGTCTACTTTCAATATTTAGGCCCTTAATTAATGATAATATTTCTTCCTTATCAAGGACAAGTTGATTCTGCAAAGCGTTTGCACGAGAGCAGTAACCTACCGACGTGAAAAACCTGAAGAAATAAAAATGGACATTAGCAAATTAAATGCTCATGAAACTTTCAGGTGCAACTTCTAAAATGATAAAAAAAAAAAAGTACCTTATGGGAAACTGGATTTTAAATAATTGCTCCTAAAATTTACTATTTTAGAAGTCACAAGAGGGGACAAATTTGCTAGATCATGCCAGTTGCTGGTTGTCTGCTCGAATGAAGACTGACAAGCATCCTCATCATCATGTGACTCACACTGCTGCTGAATTTTTCAGAGAAAAATGTGTCTTACTACTGTTTGATACTAGTGTCATTGTAGCACTTTACTGTAATATATAACTTATTTAGATCAGCATAGAATGTAGATTATCTGAAGAGCACTGACTACACTTTACAGGTACCCACCATTTGTACACTTCCCAGAGAGACAATGCTGTGAGATAGTTTTGGCATTGTGTCACTACAAGGATACAGTAATCCCTGCACCAAACATGCAGACAAATGAATAATGCAGTTATACTAATGTTGCCAAACACTTCAACAACTGGCAGCAGTGAACAGACAAGACCAGATAGATGAAAAAATGAATAGTGTTTCATTCGTTCAAGAGATAAACAGATAAAACCTTAATCTTGAGGGATATTGCTTTTGAAATAGTAGTTTTATGCATGTGTGTTTGTTTTCTTTGACAAGATGGATACTAATTCTAACATTCTTTCCTCTTTGCCTTTATATTTTGGTTTTCTTTCTTACAGGATAAGTTTATATATGTCACAGATGACTGGATTAATAAGTGCTAAGTTACTACTGCCATAAAAAACTAATAATAATACAATGTCACTTTATTAGAATATTTTTCAAAATTCAATGTTTAATAAGGGACACTTCAAGTAACATCAAAATCTGAACAGCTTCATTGTTTGCTGATGTAGAGTTTTAGATCTTCTTACCTGGTAAACTGGATGGATTATTTCACCACTTCATTTGTCTAATCATCAGGTTGAAACTCACAAAATATTTAGAAACTCTGCCTCAAACAAAGTGCCACACTTTTGAATGCGTTTTCTCCAATATTTATTCAAAGCAGATAGTAGTATTTTTCAAATTAAAACTAAATTAAGCTATATTACTCTTGCCCTTTGAAGCAGTCTAAGGACATTCTTTCCCTGAATCACCTCAGTCCAACTCACCAGAATTCTAAAAATACACAATTAGAGAAGAATAGACAATATCTTTAGAAATAGGCTAATTCACCCTTGTGGTTATTCAGGGGAACTGAGGCTCAGAAAGTTCCAATGATTTTTCAAAAGCCCCTCAGTGACCAAGTGCCAGCACTCAAAGAGAACTGTCTCATTGCCAGGCCAGGGCTCACCGGACAGTGTAGTACTACCTCGTGAATCTTTAAAATAGTCAATTGGCAAGTGTTTTTAAATGCGATTTACTGAAGTCTTAAGTGAATAAGCATGAGACAATTCTCAAACAAGGCAGAAAAAAGTAATTCAAACCCAATTGTCCATGGTTGGCATCCAGTCTTCTTGCTAATCAGCTTCTAAGAGACTGCCAAATGGCCTAACTAGAGGGAAGTCCATTCACACAGGTTGTGGTGAACAGCATTTCCCCTGGGGTCGTGCAGTGCTCAGTCCAAGAGCTTGATACAGAGGTGATGAACTTTTATCTTCCCTAACAGGAACTTCATCACAACTACCATATCCTTACAGATTTATTCACTCTGATTTTATTGGCTAGAAGTCAAAGAGTCCTGTGTACAGCACAGAGCTTTGCCTGTGACAACAAAGGAAGTTATTTTAAATTCCTTTTCAATGTCCTCTTACAATCAGCTTCCCCGATTTTCTGTCTTCCAGCACTTGAGTTAAACAAAGTGCCAAATATCTACATTCCGATGAAGACTATATCCCATCCATCCTAAAGAAGATTCAAAAATGTACAATAAGTTGTTCTAGAGCCAAAAACCACAGTACTCCCATCAGCCGTCCCCTGAAGCCAGGCAATTATGACGCTAAGTTGAGCAGTATTTCCTTCCCCAACTGAGTGATCAGCGCCATTGACATAATTCAGTATTGTGACTCACTTATGTAAAATACCTTTGATCACCAAGGATAACATAAAAATTGTTTTAGCAGCTTGCCTGTCACACATTGCATCCTTTTAAAAAAGGAAATAAATGAATACCTGTCAGCCCCCAAAAGGAAAAGTGGAAAATATCCATTCATTGAAATACTGAAAACTGACATTTAAAATTTTTGAAACATTACAAGGTTCATTAACTAATGTCTATGTGGGCTGAATTATCCAAAAGAGGATAACAAAATGAAATCCTTAAAATAAAGGGATGGATATTTGGACACTCTCATTAGTTTGCACTAATTTATGATGAAACAAGGCTCTTCTCATAGGAAGGGACAAGCTTCCTGATAGGCAGTTCAATGCTAGATGGTGATTGCAGTTATGCTTGTGATGTCTTGTGCTTTCCTTTTTTATTTAAAGATCTAATCCTTAAAGATTTTAGAGTTTATATTTACTTGAATAATTGATATTTTCCTTATGAGAAGATAATTAATATTTGATTAGTTAGAATTAATGAAAAGTTAAGGGAAAACAGGGTATTCTTAGATTAAATAATTTATGTAAACGAAGCCTATTTCAACTAATATGACCACAGGAGCCTTTTCAGATTCACTGATATTAAACACAAGTAATGAAACTTTAAATGGTTAACGAAGTTAAGAACTTGAACAACTCTTTTGGTACGACAGCATTTCTGTGCCCTAAAGTATGTCATGATTTAGAAATAGGCCATATATACACTACAATATAACTGTATGAATTTTACTTCTCTGGGGATATCTTTATACTGCAATATGTGTGGATTTATAAGCATCTGTTTTTTTTTAATTTATTAATATTTATGTACAGACATTCTCTGAAAGACTCAAAAATTTACTAAAACTCTGATTATGTCCTAAACATTCAATTTAGTTTGGTTTAAACAAATACAAAAATCTAAGATTACATAGATTTCTCTAGAGGCAAATTTTTCAAAACTCAAAATTAAAATTAGTGGATGCATCAGATACAATAGTCCACTAAAGAATAAATTTCAAACATTTTTAATATACACTTAATCGCTATTGAATATATTCTTATGCATGACAATGGACATCCATACAATGTTGAAATATAACTATGATGGATTATGAAAATTATTCTCCATAGAATTATATTCCTTATGATACCTTTATAATAAGTTAAACTCAATGGCTTTTCCTTCCTTTTCCTACTTCTATTTGTTTTCTACTTACTTTTCCTAAGAGATTGCCCCAAAACTTCAAGCTCAATTAGCCTAATTGTGAAAAATAACTGACTATAATAATATAATGAAGTTCTTCATTTCCAAACATCTCTTAATGATTTTAAAAGTCATTTGAATCTATGTACCTAAACAAAGACCCATTAAAAACTGAGAACTTTAAATTTTTACAACTGTTCAAGCTTATTTCAATTTTAAGGGATTTGAGATCCATATATTTTAATAAAAGTATCTAATGAAATATAGGTACTTGGGAGTTCAATCTTGTGCATAAAATATTGTTTTATTTACTCTTAACATTTAATTTACAACTATCCTTATTTATATTGACCTTAAGAACTCCACTTAATGCAATGCAAGCTGAGACATATTTTCAAACAAATATGAAACTAGCATTCTTTCAGATCATTCCCCTTTTCTCTTATAATTCTTCAATGGCCAATTTATTATGGGTTATACATGTTCATATTTCATTAAGTCTAAGATATCTACTTTTCAATTTAACATCTTTGAAATATATCTTGCGATTATTGGCCTCTGAGATGCAGTTTTATAATTTTACTTAAATAAATATTACACTAATTCATCTTTAACTAAATGTTCACGGGTATAGAGACATTCATTTTTATATAAATATTTAAGAACACACGTACGATAACACATGAAGTCAGTTTTCAGTACATCTGAATCACATTACCACTTGCCATGGAGCCTAACCATCTGATTATGAGTTTAGATTCTGCAGACCTTTAAGTTATAAAAGCTCTTTCAGCCTTCTGTTTATACTTTATGCTAGTTGCTACTGGTTCAGCAAACCCTAACCTAACTGACAAGAATGAGTGAGTTTCTCCTAGGTTTGTTAACAAATGTTTATTCTTTCTATTACTCTCTAAAGAATACTTTCATGTGATCATCTCACTCTTAAACAGAATTAACTGGAAAAATATTACATAACATCATCACATTTAGATTTTTGCAATTTTAAGATTTTGAAGCATTTTATGTGTCTTATGTCAATGACAGGAGAAAAGTATCATACAACTTATCAGTGTTGTAAGGAAATTTTCCCTTAAAGTCCTCCTACATTTTAATTTTTCTATATCATTTCTGTTCTATATCATCTCTGTTCTGTTCTTTTGTTTGATTTTTTCCTTTGACTTTAATAAATTCACCTTAATCCCATGAATGACTCATAAAACTGCATATTTAAATTATTTGACTTACATGAAACTATTGTTCAGCTATCTGGACAGCTGTCAATGAAATACCTGAGAGTAATAACACTACTCCTTTATCTACCTGGATTACTTTCCCACAAAAATTTATGTTCATAAACTAACTCTATTAATCAGGTTTCTAAGCTCCATTACCTATTTCAGTTAAAATTATCTATCCAAAAATAAAAAAAAAAAAACACTGCAATCATCAAGGATGGAAATGTATGATTTGTGTAAAAAGTCTTTACTAACTTTACACTGTACCACAGATAAATGTGATTTTGATAACAGTTCAATACAATGACAAATATGGCACATAGATTTTCTTTAAAATACTGAATATAAAATATTTTAATTCTAAATTATAATAAAATATAAATTTGCACATATTAATATAGAAATTCATTTTGTATATATTTAACATAAGTTTAAAACTATTTTACATTTACCAGTTACTTCATTAAAGTTTTTTAAATCTGCAAAAAATTAGTAATGTTTTAAAATTATCAGTAATATAACCTATGTGTTTCATTTAACAACT